AAAGGGGTTTTCGAGAGAGTCCTAAAAACGATCGAGATTCTAAGAATAAGCGACCTCATTCGTCTCAAAGTTCAGAATTTGAAAAGAAATCTCGAAGAGAACCGTACACCACTGATTCGGAATTTTACGACCCGACAAGTGCTGACGAAGGGCGGTCTAGTCGTTTCATGGAAACCTCGCAAGATTTCGATACCATCGATGATTTGCGGGGGCGGAAATCAGTAACTACTTCTCAGGAGCTCGGCGAAAAACTGAGCCACGATATCCGAAATTTCAACAATCATGGTAGTCCAGTCACTTCCCGAGATTCAACTGTTGACCGAGGAGGACACGGGCGAGATGAGGGAAACGGAAACCTCAGACGTACAGCTAGTGAAGTGTCTTTCACGCGAGACAACATCCAAAATGAAGTCTTCCTTGAATTTGATAACATATTCAAGCAACATGGACAGTATTTAACAGCTTCCGATGGTGGTCAACATTCTAGTTTAGAGCGCACTTCAGACCAAGGAATCGCAGATAGGCGATCCAACTCACCGGATTCGATTGAAAATCCCAAGGTTCCATCTGACCAACGCTTTGGCGGAGGTGGTGCAGTCCCCAAACATGCCAGAGGATCTCTCAACCACAAGCACCAAAGGAGCATGAGTTCATCCATGACTGGAAACAAACCTCTCTCCAAATCTCCTCCAACTCCACCTCGATTCTCCCCTCCTCCGCCTCCTCCACGACCGCCCAAACCTGATCGACTAAGCAAATCTTTCGGTGTTGAAAACGAGATTGGTAAAGTTCCACCCAGAAATGATCGGCTCGTATGACGCCAGGCGCCTGTTGTGATCAACACCACGAGATTTTAATTTGTCACACATTAAATTTGGCTTCCGGTAACCTTTCAATGGAATTAGAGAATTTCAAGCATATAATCTCGTGATCACAACTGGCTCGCTTTATGAAACGTTTCCATTTTTATATTAATGATTATAGCGACATGACATTGATGAAACGATACTTTTAAATGTAGATTACCTCATAATTAGACTTATCACTTTTTCTTTCTGTCAGCCCGAAGTCAGCGATAAACCGTTCCTTGCTATCCTTTGTAAATTAATCCAAATGACTTTCATGCAATTAAATTTTATTATTTTACATTAAAATTCATTTTTGATGTAATTCGACGGTCGAATCATGCATGTTAAAAGTTTTTGTATATTTCTCATGTTGTGTCACACTGCGATTGGCATTCTGGAAATTCACCTGCCGTTAATGAATGTTGTTAGAGGGAGAGGCCTGGATGTTATTTAAATGTTTTGTATTTATTTTTAATATGTTTTTTTCTCTGTGTTCATTACAAACGAATAGATTATTGCGGGCGTTTGTAAAGAACTTTTTCGTTATCGTTAAAATTTTGTAACCAGTATAGTTGCTGTATCATTTTTTTACGCTGTACGATATTTGTTACACATTTGTTCGAGAATGGTTTGAAGAATGTGTTAAATTTAAATTAGGATGCATTATAATGAATTAATTCTGTAGTCATCTATCCTTCTGGATCTAATTATCGGACATGTATCTTTCTATGCACCTTATCGATAATTTTGCAGTCCTATCGGTGGCCGTAATTTAATGAAGTCCTTCACGACTAATCGACCTGCTCTCTAGTATTGAATATGAACGATAGGTATATCAGCTGGAGTTCCCGAGGCCGTGTGAGAAATCCTTCTAGCTAGAAAATAACCTGAATGAGCTCACAACAAGATGGCGAGTGGGTCAGTACATGCCACGCTCGCGGCAAAATCCAAACAAAAGTTGCAGCAAAATCAAAAAATAAAAATAAAATCTGAAGAATTCAACCCTTTGAATGTGCATACATTACCCGTGGTCACTGATATGCGTATGCAAAGGCCTAGTACGCGCAGAAATCTTTGTAGAGATAGGGCTTGAATTAAATGACATCAGGGAGCGATTTTCTCCTTAGGTTTGGATTGTTATGATGTAAATTCTATCATCCCGTGTAAGTCTATGTCCCTTTTTGTAAATTATTTCTGCACGTTTCCTCGAACTATGATATTTTTCGTTCGTGTTGGCATCCAAATGGAAAGTATGTCTAATTTGTTTTGTATTAAATTGTGTCTCGGATGCTTTCTTTTTACAAGTTATGGCACTATTATTGTCGAACCCTAGCTGCATCATACATGAAGTTAAGCAGCTTAACATGTGTATAATATTATAAGGTTAGTTATTTCTTGCCTTGTTCTCAATTTGCTCGCATCCGCGTTTGGGCAACTCGAGTCACTTTTCCCCCAAGTTTTTAAGGATCTCTTAAGGTCCGGTAAGCCGGTTGAGATCGTGCAGTCTCGCACTCTCTCGTAACGCGTCTAAATTGTTTTGGCATATGAAGAAAAAATTTCCGACGGGTAGTAGTTTGAGCACAGAAGGCTGTTTTCCATGCACAAGTTTATGTTGCATCTGATGCACTTTAGAATAAATTTGAATTATACCAGCAAATAATAGTGTAGGCTTTGTAATTCTTAGAGAGCTAAAATGCTTCCTGTCAATAATGTAATGTATTTAAATTTATTATATCAGACTAAGGAGATTAAATACTTCTTTTTAATCAACGTAGGTACAAGATAGTCATTGAAATCAATGATTATAACAGAATTGAAACTAATTTGTCATGACACCTATATATATCCAGTTAATAAATTTTTAGATTTCTTCAACTGTCTTGGATTCGTAAGCATATATTTTGCGCTCTACTGCTTTACAAGTTTTATTTCAGTTGACTATCTTTTTGTGGTTTAGTTTCCATGTTATCGCCTTGAGAACTGATCGCTTTTTCTCCGGCCTGATATTTTCTGGAACACGTTGTGCCCGGCGCGTCATAACTGATCGCCGTGTCACCGATAGAAGTGCGCTGCTTTCTCCCGCATGAAGGTGCGAGCAACTTGTCGCGCTTCCCGTACTTCCGTTAGCGCCGGCGTCTGGTTATTATTAGCAAAAAATATAACTCAGTACTCACTGCAGTGAGTGACAGAGTGCGCATTTTCTCGTCGACGAAAACGTGAAGTGACGGACAGACAGACAGACAGACGGACATGGCGAGCACAATAGTGCATTTTTTCCATAAATGAGAAAATGCGCTAAAAATCGCCGTTAGTGTTGGTCCCCATTCTGGTACATTCATTCTTTCGACGTTTTTTGATAATGTTGTTACCCATGCTGAAAGAAATTATCTGTCTAAATGAGGATTGATCCTAAATTATCACATAGATACAGAGTTTCAATTAATATTAATACATCGTCGTGTATATGTAGTCAATATCAATGTAAGGGTTATTGCGAGGAATTCATTGTCCGCTGTCTGGGAAGTCATGCTATATTTCATTTCGTAACACACGACAAAATAGTCAATACTACTCTCCTATGACCTCTAAGTTATTAACTTTACGACAAAGCGTTCGCTTCATCTCAAACTGACCAAAACTTTAGTAATCGTTTCTTATATTGCATCCAAAAGCGCGTTGCTGGTATTTATTATTTTTCTGGTCGACTCTCCGTTAGCCTGATGAGCCGCAACCACGAAGCCGACGCGCTCGGTTCTCGCCGCTACCAGCGCCCGTTGCCGTTACTCTTTTTATTGTTGCATGTATTTCGTCCTTTCGCGTACGTCATTTATTTTTGGTTTTCATCATAATATGCGCGGATTTCAAGTCTTCCTTGAGACAAAGAGCATCGTGTGATTTTCGCACTATAATATTTTTGATGGAAAGTTGTTTTTTTTTTGTGCTGCGCGTTAATGTGTGTGTGTGACAGTATTTTTTCCGGATACTATAGGATACCGTTGTTATTTTAACATAGATTTTATTTTTAACGTTCATTTTTATTTTTTTTTTCTTCTGTAAAATTTAATTTAAAATTTTTTCTTTCATATCTAATTTTATTACTTTGTAAATACGCAACTCGGTCTACTAATTCTTGTTAAATCCTGTATTTTGTGCCCGTTATCCTTTAAATTATATTGTTTTATGTATGAGCATGGCATTATATAGCTGTAACATGATCCCTTGATTATATACTTCGATTTCGGAGTATGATGAATAAATCCACAATTTATGAATCAGCATTTTTTATCCTTGTTATTTACGTTTTACACCGTAATTAATATAATAGCCTCATCGTGTCCTACGTTCTGCGCTTATCAGCACTCATTGCCATCTTCAATATTTTTTTCCGCGGTGCTTTGAATAATAATTTTTCTCTAAATTTTATAAACGGTTTGATCTCGAGGTTCGAAAATCAATTTGTACGCGTTGAAAACTGGATATCTCTTTCAATTTACCGTTAACAAAACTTTATTAACTTGATTTGAAAGCACATTTGTCGCAAAGAAGCATCCTCCAGTGACCTTTTTGGTCGTGTTTACATCTTTTTTTACCAAACTCTACATCACTATGAAAAGTTTAGCAACAAATTCTTCACAAGGAAGTGAGTATACTTATTATGATCTGTATCAGATTCCTAATTTCAGTGTAATTATTATCAAGTATTTATTTAACTTATTGTTTGTTTGTATTTCATTTTATATTTCGGGTTCAGTGCACGTTGGCTAGTAAAGTTAACATTGAAATGTAAACAATGTTGTTCGAGAAAATATTTACTAAAGAAACCTAATTTGAAGCTTTACTAGGCGAACATCTTGATCTTCTTTAAATGCTGTACGCCTACCTAACCTGCCAATAATGGAGCTCAATTATTTGCGGGTCATATTAAAACACTATTCAGAAGCCACGATATAGATTTTTCTAAGTAATTATTAATGCTTTTCTAATACAAGGACTGTATTCAATTTTTTTAATTGTTTCTTCAGTTGATGTATCAGATATTAATTGCATCACTATTTAGATACTTCCGCTCGTGATTGAGTTACTTTCATTCATTATTTTTGTGAATTTAAAATTAAGTTACTTCATTGTAAATTAATGGTAATTTTTTCGCAGGCAATGAAAGCGAAGAAGGAAGCCGAGGAGGCATTCGAGGCGTGCAGCGACGTCGCTCGACACGAGGTCCGACTTTAGGATTACTTTTATAATTATTTTATTTACATCATTAGTTTGCTTAAATCGCAAGTTGGCAGAAAATTTTAAGGTCACGTAAGCGCCACTGACGGAAACCCTGCCTTTTGTGTGTACAGAAGAACCTCGGTTAACGACAATAATCCATTAAAGAATGGTTGACGTTAACTGAAACGTTCGTTAACCGAAATAATTTCCCCCATAAGAAACAGTGGAAATAGAAATAATTGGTTCCCAATGGTTCCCAGAAATAATTGGTTCACACCAATGACTTTCGAGTCATTCCGCGTTTATTTTTTTATATTATACGTATAATGAAATAACCCTGTCCGCGACGAAGTTTTGTTAAATTATTTTTCCTGTAATGACATCACCCGCAATTTTCAATTTTTAACTACAAATTCAAGCATCTCTACTGTTACAGATCAAGCGTCTGCACCGAGTGAGATGTGCCGAGATGACGGACATCATAACGAGCTTCGGCAAGTTACAGCTCGACTCAGCCGTGCGTCAACACGCTTTACTATCTGCCGCACTTAATAGCCTTAATGCTGTCATCAAAGTTTAGCTGTGGCATCACAAGGATGGTCGCCTCATTTGCAATCATAGCTAAAAAAAATTCTTTGAAACATTTCTTGAGCGATGAAAATCGTGTTGTGCAGCATTTGCTTTAGAAAATGTACGTGACATGAACTTTTTGCTATCAACACTAAATGTAAAAGACTTTGCCATAGAAAGAATAAAGTTTAAACGTACGACTAGGAGATCATGAAGCATCACAATTGGTATCCCTTTTTTATGGACGTAGAAATTTTNGGAGATTTTGAATTTCATATTAAAACGTTGTATTTCACCAACTTTTTGTATGAGAATTTTTAGGCAGCTGTATTAGATTTAATGTGAGATTATCAGTTGTTCAGAATTTGAATGCAGTGTACAATAATGTTAAATGTTCCGTTGTATTGAAGTTGTGAAGTTATTCAGCGCCTGAACTGTGCTGTGTGTGAAGCAAGTCTACTTGTCATGGTTTTGATTCATCCAATATCAAAAATTTTGTCAAGTTAACTCGTATTATTTTATTAAGTATTATATGCATGTTGATTATCACTCGTTTTGTAATTGCTACAGAATTACTCAACATATGTAAACTTAGCGAGCTGAATAAGTTGAGAGTTAATGCTAGGAATGCTATTCAGCTTTTCAAAGTTAAGCTATTATTGTTTCTTTTCATTTTTTCGCTTCCATAATATTTGTTCCAGTAGGAACCAAGATATTCTTTCAGCTCGTACATTTATGTAGATTTATGCTCGTATATACGGTGCATTATATTGAATATTTAGCCTAATTAATGCTGCTCCGCTGCTAATTGTTGACCAACATCAGGAATATGTGCTTGTCCTCTGGCACAACCTGCGCTCCATATCGCATCTGTTGTCCGCTGCAACGTAAACTGAAATATAGTAACAATCAAGTGGTCGCGGACCTCCCTGGTCTCTAATTCCTTAGTTAAAAATTATTTCTTTGATCTCGCTTGTACTAATTCCTCCCCATTACACTTCAGCACACCGGAACAATACATCTTGGAACTGTAGCTTCGCGTTGGTTTCTGTTTATTCTTAACGAGCTATCAAATATCGAGAGTCGTTTTAGATCCTTTATTCTTATTTTCTCTATTTCGCTTGTGTCATACAGAGCAGATTCAGAAAAAAATTGCGATCTTAGTTGTGAAATTTTGACTGTAACTACAGTTGCCTTATTTTATTCAAGAATCCTGTGATTTTTTGCCTATTATATGTACTTCAAATGTGATGAACTCGAAACCCGTCGAATTAATTTGCGTCATAGTTGCGCGCCGGCAGCTTTATTTGTATGTATAACTCAGTGATCGTGCAGGCTAGAAATAATATAATCATGCAGTAATTTGTTTGTCTGGTTTATGGCTAATTTCAAACGGTACTGTTAAAAAGCTCTCTTCTTCCCTCCATTTCGAAGCATTCTATGAGAATTTCTAAGTTTATCCCAAACCATTTGATAGGTTTATTCGTACGAGTGCCTCTTTGAATTAAGAGTATCTTCCTGATAATTGCCTCGAGTGTACCTGTGTTTTTGCTACTCTCTTCTACGACGGAAATGTTTGTTTTTTTAGCAAATTTCCGCTGACCAGAATACGGAAAAGTGTAACGATAGGAAATAGTGTTTGTATTTTTCTAGATATATGTTAGGTCTTAGAATTTCTGTGATTGATTTTTCGCCATTATACTTGCTTTCCAAAGAACTCTAATCATAGTGGTACGGCTTGATCGATCTGATTGAAGATCTATTTACTTCTCGTTTGTATTCTAATCATAGTGGTAGTACTGTTTGATCGATCTGACTGTAGATCTATTTATTTCTCGTTTGTATTTTGTTAATAATTATTTCTTAACTTTATCCCATACTGTATTTCTTGTTGAGTTTTGATTTAATATTTAGTCTTCATATCTATTAGTCGCATTTGGAACTAAACGCACTCTTAAATAAAACAATGTCTGCTGATGGCAACTCATCTGTGATACGCTGGCATTCCAAAGTCGATATTCATGATCGTAGCATTCAACGCCAGTAATGTCATGACTAAGTGTGCATCTTTGCTCATGCTTCCTCACGTTCTCATTGTTTATTCTGATGCTCACCTCGGGAAAATGTTAAATTAATCTAACACCAGATCTTCATTAATATGCTGTTGATATATCATTGATAATTATAATTAATTTTTTCCGATAGTTTTCAGTTTGTGGAATAATCCTGGAATTTTTTGCAGGAAATTTTATCATTTGTACTGGAAAACTGGAATTTCTTCGTTTGTGTATAATTATTTCTTAAAATTATCGCTCTAAATTCCAGGTAGTGCTTAAAATTTATTGATTTGCCATATGCTTTCGTAGCATCGACACAAATCACGTTCTTGCTACCACCTAAAGGCAAGATCGTTCCACGTTACTTCGTCGCATTGTTGCCCTACAGTTGAGCTTTCCTAGTCGCCTCGCAGTCATTAGAATTTACGTTCGAATATTTTTTCGTGCCATGAAAAAAATAAGATCTTATTGATACCTGCTTGCACCTTACATGAGGTAATATATGCAAGAGAACTCCACTGTACGTCAGATGTCCCGGGAGAGATACTATCACTGTGGGATGATAAGCCAACCGCAACACCTTCAGGTCTATTTTCTTTGAGAGAGTAATTTCTTTACTCAATTTGAGAGGACTTAAATCCAGTTTCTCATTGAAATTTATATACAAATAATAGGAATCGTGTGGCGTTGGTTTAACCCAAAGCTAGGACATCTGAATCGCGTTGGAGCACCAGAATGAAAGCCATTGTAAACCGTTGATTTTGATAACTTATATCCAGTGACCTTGGTATCAGTCCAAATCAATTAAAACCTGAGTTTAATTTCGTATCATGACTCTTCACCAAGCCTTTTGTTCTTTTGTCATTGAAACTAAATTCTCTCCTTCACAAATTCTCGGACTCGCGAATTGATTTGCGTAGCAGTGTAACATACACAGTTCGCGTATGCTTAAATTTGCAAGTAGCCACACATTGGAAGTGTTCACATATGAAAAGTAGACTCAACAGGCAAGAAGTATTTTCAAACGATTCGCGAAACCTGAATATTTCCGCATGGAAAGCTATCAACAATCGCTTCAATGGACGCTGGGATAAGATAACCTTTAAACCTCGATCTCGCACAATTTGAAATGGCGACGCTTCTGTGGAGCGAATCTACTATCTTCATGAATCGGTCGCGGTAATACCCAAAAATTGTACATTTTCTACCCTAAATCATCGTCAACCATAGTCTCCTTCATGTCTGCAAAACAATAAAAGAAAAAAAAATTTACAAGTTTACTTAAATCAGGCGTATTATGCATCCATTCTAATAAAACAAGTGCAAATCAGCTCGATTCAAAATACATAGAACCTTGTTCACAATGAGTCGTCAATACAGGTAGATATATTTCCAAAATAGATGAATCCATTTCCTTCAGGACTAACATAAGTTTAATGCTAATATTTCCATAACAATTGTGAACATCTATGTACAATAAATGCTAACCAAAGAACGACAATGATAATAGGGCAATTCAGCCGATAAAACAATCGAAACGTTGGCGTGCGGTACTAACTCCTTAATATCATAAACGACGAAATAAATTTATTCGCGAATTGACCATTTATAAAAAAATTTTATCGGAAATGAAGCCATTCGCTCGTATTTTTCCAGTCCTTCACTGCAGCGCATAGCGCATCCTTGAATGATCGTTGTGCGGACTTTGTCCGTGATGTTTTATATACATCCATTAGGTGAAGAATAGAATAATACTTTAGTTACTAAATCTATATTCATATTAACTTGAACGCATACTGTAAGAACCATACGACGTACATGGATCCGCTCGGGCGTTCAGTACACCGTCGAGTATCAGATTTTGCATGCAAATTGCCTTAACAAACAAGAAATGAGCACATTGGTAAACCGACGTATCGGAGCAGATTATTACATTGCAGTTAAAATTCAAATAACTACAAATATCCAGTCCTGAAAATTAAGGCTAATTCTAGTCCTTCCTGCAGGACTAGAAAATCCTAAAACCCGGCGGAATCCTGTTCACATTGAAACATCCAGAATTTATCGCATTCAATACTTTGGCCGTTCATCGCGCTACCCCACCAGTTCAGTTGCTAGCTGAAGTATGAATGATGGCGATCGAAATAAAAAGATTATTGATACTTATACAAGAGCATCTTTCTTTGGATAGAACACAAATGTCTCCAGCGTTCCGGTCAAAAACTACTTAAGAATTCAAGTTTGACATTTGTCTTTCGATAGGAAGTTCGTACACTGCATAACTGTAGAACAATAGTTATTTTCACACGCAAAAATTGGTATAACTAACCAAATTTAGTACGAAATAGCAACACCAGAGAAAGTCAATTTTTTTTTTGTAATTATAGAACTCATTAAAAAAATTCATTTTAACAGGCAAAAATTCGTATAACTAACCGACATTGGTACTAAATAGCAACACCAGAGAAAGTCAATTTTTTTGTAATCATGTAACTCATTAAAAAAAATTCATTTTCACACGCAAAAATTCATATAACTAACCAACATTGGTACTAAATAGCATCACCAGAGAAGGTCATTTTTTTTAATAACTTAACTCAGTAAAAAAATTTCATGTGTTGACACCAGGACAAAATATCTAGATGGTATTTTTCTTAATTCTAACCAGGACAAAATATCATGATGGTATTTTACTTAACTCTAGTAGAAAATATACGATCAACTTCAAGGTGAGTATGGGGGCGGCTGATCAGAAGGGGACGCTGCAGAAGGGGCCGAAGCTTGGGCAGGTGGGGAAGGAGTGTACGGCGGCGGCGGGGAACGAACATGCCGATGAGTGTTAGGGGCAGACCTCTGGTGACGCAGGCCTTCCCGGGACGATGTGTGCGGAGGCCGGGAACCGCAAGACGAATTTGTCTCTTGCTGTTGCTGGGATGAATTTGTCCGCTGTTGTTGTGGTATTGAGTGTGCAGCCACTGGTTGCTGCTGCTGAGACGTCGCTTGCTGCTGTTGCTGCTGCCTATATTGCCGTTCAAACTGTTGCTGCTGTTGCAGATGATAGTGCTGGTAGTGGCTGAGAGCCTCAGGATGCTGAGGACCTATTGAAGGTTTGGTGAGTTGTATGGTGAAGACCTGCTCGCCGGGACGCGACTCCAAGTGGCTGGGTGGATTGACCTGAGCGAAGCAACACGCCAGCGCAGAAACTATGATGCCGGCGCCTGCATAACATTTGCAGTGTCAATTCACATAGCAAACAATCGTGGCATCAAAATAGCAATGTTTTCTACCACCAATCAATCGCATAAAGCCAATCCCATTCCCTCATCACACTAAAATATCTAAATGAATCCAACAGCAGGTCTCAGTATCATCATACTTGTTAAACTAACTAACATCACCATTAGCCTCATCACACTCGTACATCTACACTACATCACCTGCCAGTCCCATAAGCCTCATCACACTCGTACATCTACACAACCTCACCTGCAAGTCCCATTAATATCATCATAAACAAGTCGCCGCCTCCAAATCTCCAGTGTTCATCGAAATCATCATCGTCGTATCGCTCGTAGCTGCCATCATCATCGTCGTCATCGTCGGCGTCGAAGGCGTGCGTCTCGAGCATGAGTGTGCCGAACGCCAACACCACTACGCAGAAGGCGATGATGAACAGCAGCACCTTACGGGTCACCTTCCACGGGCCCACCTGCAGGTAAGTATCGTCCTTGTAAGGTAATTATCGATAATTATCGTAAGGTAATTAACGATTATTATCATCGTTTCATCAAAGTCTGTTCTGGCAATTATTTTAGTCTAGCAGGTTCTCAAGTCTATCCCGTTCTAGCAGGTTAGCATCAACAGTTGCTTCATTATTCCAACTCATGCTTAGAATTGATCATTAAGTTTGTTCAGGTAAAAAAATCGATAGGATACATAACCCCTGACCCCGCGAACTTACCTGCCTAGATAACGATTATAATTAACCTAAGTCGACATCAGATAAAAGGCAAAAGAATTTAATTTCAAACTGAATTTTGATTGAGGACGATTGAGATAATTGAACGATTGAATGGATTGTGTTCAATAATATTGATGGAATTAAACGAACGGCAGAGATTTAGTGGACCTCAATTTTCACACAACCTGCATTACCGTTTTATTTAGATTAAATCGCTATATGGCTACATTTTTGCATTAGCGGATTGATAACCGGTGTGGAATTGACACTGGTATATAATCGCCAATATATAATCACGACAATGTACGTACCTGCAGCCCTTGTTTCAGGAAGTGTTTGGCGAACAGCATTTTGTATCTGCAATCTGTTCTAATCTGTGCTAATTATTATATATTGGCTAAATCTAATGGACCGAAGTTTGCATCCGGGTGATTGTCAACATTCCATTGTTCTGAAAATAATAAATCAATAATTAGCTCTGAAGTCCTGATACTGCTACACTAGATGCCACATTTATACAAAACACATACAAAAACCATTCATTAGCTGTGTGGAAAAAAAACTGGAAACAATAGAAGCAGAAATTGGTCTCATGAATAATTTTTAGGAAAATAACATGGTCACAAGTAAGCACTGAGACTATGTGGCACGATAGAGCAACACAGGCAGGTTATCCCTAATTGAACACGGCAGCCTGAGGACTTGTACGGGACGACAAAGGCCCGCTCAAGGACGCCGCGTGACGTCACTAGACGAACGAGACGAACGAAGCAACGCACTCGTCGTGATCAAATACACGTCGCCTAAGAGAGATACATGAATAAACTGCTTCTCGGAGACCCATTGTTAATTATCATAGAGCATCAATAATAGTGATACCAAGAGCATGAGTGAGGTTATGAGGTAATTCAGTGTAGAAAATATATCAAGTATACTGTGAATTAAATACTTTGGAGCTGCAATCAATTTACTATATACATGGCTATCGCAAAAAAAAACATAAAAATTCGTCACTAAATTGGTTTTCTTCGGAGAGCCAAGGCACTAGACACCACATAGGTAATCACTATCAATGTCAAATATTTTGAGCAATTTTCAAGTGGCGAAATCGAGAAGAGCAAATTAAAGCGACAAACCTTGTTATCTTATCAGCAATGAAAAATTTTGACAAGTCAAAAAGTAAGAATACTTACATTTATGCTCAAATAACTCTCAATTCCAATTGATGCCTTTTAAATAGAAACGTTCCTTACTCATACGGCACGAAATGAATTCAATCGGTAGAGAAAATATCCCTTCCATTTTGCAATTTTCTAAGCTTTCTTTGCAAAATAATAGACCAGAACCAAATCGGGTTTGATTAAAATTTTTTTTAAATAGGTAATACTACTGTGCAATGAAAAAAATGTATTGGCAGTTCGCCATAATTCAGGTTCGACTGCAGATCATCTTATTACTCATACAAGCCGGGGTTCCCCGAATATGCACGTACACGCTGGGGAAAATTTCCAGGATGTCAATAGGAGGCCAGTCGCAGCTGCGTTCTCTTTCGAGGTATTTGATAGTTGATTGGTGAGCCGGCGAGATTATCACAAATACAATCCAATCTTTTTAAATACCATTTCATTATTTAATACACGATTTACCAAAAGAGCAGACCTCTATTTTTTTTAAACCACTATTTTTGAAAAACATCTTGCTGGGAAAGCTAAAAGAGAGGTTTAATTTTGGGCAGACAATTTTTTCGCCTTGTCAACTGTCAGAGTGAAAACCCAGAAGAATCTATCTTCATTTCACGACATGACAGTAAGAAATGCATCTTCATACAAAGCTAAAATCAAGAGTGATATTGCATTCCAATGATCCCACAAATCCGAGATGTTCGAATAACATAGTAATACAAGTGCCAGCGGAGATTAGGCCTAATGCGGCCTGTTGCCGCTTCTCGACATCGTAGATTTTTTCACAGCTTGTATGGGCCATTGAATAAGCAACTCGTTACTCCTATTTCGCTATTCTTAACCAACCAAGTACTTCGCCGATTCCGACCATAATTTTTACAGCAGAATTTTGACAGAAAGTTGAGATCGAACCCGCAACGCACTGCTGCAATTTTTAGGGACTCCTAACTTTCAACCATACAAAGCTGATCCGTGTTCTCGGGCGACGACGTTACTTCGTTACTTTAATTTATTTTTAATACTAATCAGATATGTGATTTGCAACCAACGTATTCATTCACAGTGGCCCGGCACGTATAGACATACATCAATGAGACTAATAATACTTGTCGTCAAGCTAGAGTCCGGACTTGTCGACCTTGTGAAGCTGTAAAAGGCTGGAGCGAGAACCAGCAAAAAAGCAACCAATTGCACAAGACCACGCAACTAAGGCTCGTCCATCTCGCAGAAAATGAAACTGTGTCGGTGACACGTAACTCAAAGCGCAACGTCTGATAAGTGAATATTTTTTATAGAGGAGATGAAAACAAACGCTCATATGAAACTCGCAACAATCTAAAAATTATAGCCTAATTTCTACTTGACTTCCTCGACATTTCTTGACTCACTCACTGGCATACATTACTCAATTCAATTGAAGTGCGGTGGCATACCTGATATTGTTCAAAACAAAAGTCTACGATGGAAGAACAAACAGAAATACTATACGATACATTATTATAGTTGTAAAATTAGTTTTAGATTCCAGTACGCTGACGTATATTAAACACGAGCGTGGGATGCAAGGTCGGTTTATGCAAATCGCAACAGTACCCCCACAGCAACGCCCTAATGTATTGCTTAACGTTCAACTCTTCACATTCGTGCCCGTATAGGAGTGGTGAAGTTCCAGGCACCTCTATTGCCTCTACAACATATTATTTTTTTTTCTTTGGGCATAAAATACCAATGTATCATAATTACTTTGTCAGAAATACCAAAGTTTCGATAAAGAAAATTCCGAGTTCCGATTCAACAGCGCACTCGAGTTCAGATCTTTCGAACAGCGGCAACACTAAACCACAATGGCGAAAAATATGGTAGTAATATAAAAATAAAAAACCTTCTCTCGTTCAGCCACAATAACTTTCAGCACACTCAAAATATCAAAGACTCTATCAGCTTTAAGTTCGTTCTTACCAAAAGAAATAGATGGGACGAAACCGTCTGTCACTAAATAGTTGAACCGATGTTAAATAAAAGCCAAGTGCAAGTCGGCGCTTGAAATGTTCACTGCAAGTTTTTTTTTTTTTTCATTCATCAAGATCTTGGAAGCTGAGCGTTAAATCGTGAAGTTACCAAGGCGACATTGAAGGCACGCTGCCAGGGAGACGTTGAAGGCACCAGTCGCACGACGGACGATCCATGTAGCTCAAGGCCAAATGTGAAGCGAAGGGCAGCTCTTTCACAAATCTCACCTCTGTTTGAAAAGATGGTATTCCTACAGCTTTATGCTTCTTTCTTCACATTACGACGCATGAAATTAACCGAGACAAATTAGATAACTTGACGTGCATGTACACCATCCACCTCTCGTGGGAGAGGGTGTCACACCGCGGAGCGACAACTCGAGGACTTCGTACAAGTTCAATGAAGCGTAAATCCGTCATGAATGTATTTACGTCGCCAAAATGTAAGGTAAAACCTTGACTGTGTTAAGCTGTTCAGTAGATGGAGAATTAGTCGAGAATTGAAGTAATCAACAGAAGAGTTACGGTAGCATTGAACTGTGTTCAGGAGCATCCACATGAAAGATGATCAACATCAGGACAAAAAGGGTGCAGAAAATAATCAAGTTTTGATCAACAAGCTAACGAGCGCTATCTTTGAATATTTGAATCCCAAAAATTACGATGCTTGGCTTCTATAATGATGCATCGAAAGAGTTACACAAAAAGAAAATATAAAATCTAATTTTCTCAAATCTATCCGATGTGCAATCAGATTAAATACTTTCGCTTAAGCTAAAGAACATAATTTTATTGCGCTAAAAAATATAGGCACTTATTTTCTTTGACAGCTTATTCCACAGTAAAAATTTTTGTAGACAATGAGGAGCTTCGTCAAAGTGTGTACTGCGCAAATGTTGAGACATGTCTAACATTCAAAATACGTAAATCAGAAACCCTAACTGTCATTAGTTTTTACATAGTAATGACGCTGAGGCTACCAAGAAATTGGGAAATGCACCACACCCGAACGTAAAATTTTTGCGTTTTCCTGGTTGCGCATGACGATGGTCGATCAGTGCTGCCCTTCACGCGTCGGCACTCGATACGAGCTACACGCTTCCGCACCTTGCGCGTATCGTGTGTGCGCAGGCACACATTGTGTTGCGTACGCTATACCCAGTTATTAGTCAAGTGTTTCGATAATCCTATTATTGATAATCCTATTCAGGTGTCAGAAATAATGGTTATATTTATGGAAATAGTCCAAAATGGACGAATAAAAATCAAAGAACCATTTTAAAAATAGCATGCCAAGTGCGAGCTGAAGATACGTAAGTGCAGCTATTTGCAGTTATTTCGGCTGTTATTTATTGCTAAGCAAAATGCTACCCTCGCAAATAAGTCGTTGAATTTCTATCTCTGTACTAACCAAATTCATAGAACAGTTAACTTCGAGAAATAAAACGCGAAGTGATAAATTGTACTTCATTAAAGCTAGTTTAAAGACATCATGAACAGTTAGATCTGTACTTTGCATTATAATAGCATATGTAAGGAAGATATTCTAAACAACACATTTTCATATCCACAATATATCACCTAACATCGCGAACTGGAAACAATACCGACTAATGCTGAGAGCAGCTTTGATTGTGTAGACCTAAGTCTCACATTTGATATTACGGTTTCACTCACGTCCCACAATCAAACATCGGATCGATATTACTTGGCCAGAATTGCACTCCATTGAACTGTTTAGTTGCAGCATTTGCCTCAGGATCGTCTTATACTACCCGCGCAAGAACACACGCATACCTAAAAACTGAGCAGCATAGGTCACAATTTTTTGTTTTCTCTCAAACTGAACAACAAAATACAGGTATTGAATTGCGGCAGACCATTAGTTACCAGCAAAGCAAAATTACCATAATTTTTGAACCGGCCAAATATTTACCATGTCGCTAGAATCTTACCGATTTCGAAATTTTAGGTTTTACTGCTACAATTTTTCTTGCTATTCCATTATTATTCGTCATGTGACATTGTCAATGTTTGCAAAGTTCAAGAACGAGCCAGGAATGACCGTGACGTTTTATGATAACTTTATGCCGCATTATATGCCAGCAGATCTACAATAATAACGAAACCGTTTCCCCCGCCATCATTTCCTCGTATTTCCACACCGTTGTACAAAAACCCACAAAATGACGAACTGTCGCAATACTTTTTTACTCATTCTAAAATGTTATCCCTGGGGTTTAGGCTTAACAAAAAAAAAA